TATTGAAAGACATTGGTTTACGTTTCTCTGATCAAATGTCATGTAAGTAAATATATAATCTCATTTCTTGCTTAAACTCAAGTAAGTGGATGATAGTTGTCTGGTAAAAGTGTACAGTCATATTCAAAAAGTACATTAACAAATTTATTATCATGTACCAATAATTTAACTGATACAACAAAATATAAGATAATTTTTGCTTTACTAATCTCTCACTTAGATGACGCTAGAACTGTTTGATAGAAACTTTCAAAATTTGGTGTTTTCCTAAAAATAAGCAAATTGTCAGGCTTATAAAGTAATGAACATTTTTCAGAGAATACAGGTAATTGAAGTTAATGAAGCGGAAAACATCGTTAACTTTTCTCAAAAATGATAAAATTTGAGACAAGTAAAATGCAACTACTTCAACAAAACAATCAAGCTACTTTCATTCACTCATTTAATTTATTTCTGTCTCTTTCTTTCTTGGAAATATGATGTTAGATCATGTACATAAATCCTGGTGGGCAGGCTAATTTCAAAACGATTCAACATTAATCGATTTCCGTATTACTTAGTCAAATCGAACTTCTCTTGTAAATCATTAAAAAGTAGATACTTGTATGTGTGTTGGGTCCCGTATGATCGGGCTGTTTTTGTCAGAGTAGATAACTTATGAAGTCAAATTATGGTATACTTCACCTAAATAGCTTGTATAAAAGATAGAACCTTCCGTTGGTCAATGACATAATGATCCCTCTATGATCAATAACATGATGACAGTGAGACGCCAACGGAGATCAATACTTAACCCATATTAGTCTAGGATTCAGTTCTACATGTTTGCTTACCCGATAGTTGAAAGGTAAATTTTTAAATAGATAGTTTATAGCTCTTCATCACAAATCATAAAAGTAACTAATAAAATAAATAACAATTCCGTGTATGAAATTCGATTGTAATTTCAGTGTCTTATGACTGAAAAGCATATCATTTTGTACATTTCAATTATAGTCTAACGTACAAACACAATGTAGACAAAATTTTGCAATTTTTGTTAACGAGCATATGATCAATTTTGTTTTGTGAATCAAGTCACGACTGGTTATTTAACACTTATTAGCACGAAATGATCGTTATTTAACTGGCTATAATAAAAACAGTATAACTACAAACCGACATGAATTTGACACGGAACAGACTAGATTTGTACAACTTTTTAACTTCCAACCATATGAGATAAATGAAATTAATTTTAAAACGCGAAGAGAAATGATGGAAAACATTTGTGCAGCTATCACACACTCAATTCGTTCACCGAAAATACAGAAAACACTAGTTAGTTATGTTTTTCAGCTAGAATGAAGAGCTTAGAAGTGGTTAATTATCCGTAGAAGTGAGTACATGACATAAAGTCAAACTTATGAGTGCACAATTTATGATTCTAGGTTTGAACAAATAAAACACTTGTGACAGATGAATTAGTTAATTCTGTCGGTTTGTTGAATTAGTTTATTTTCGGATAAGGGGTTTCCAAGTACTCGGGAGTGAGTTCAGTAGTTAACACTAGAAAGAACTTGCAAGATTTTTTTTCAAATTGACAGGACATCAGATAAGTTATCTGTTTTAACACAAACATTTTAAATCCTCAAGGGATTTATGATTAAGTATTTCACGTAAGCTGCTATTTGTTGTCTCACCTATATTTTCAATAGACACTGTTACGAATAATGCTATGTAATATTTGACTTCTTTGCAGTGAATTGAGCACAGTAAGTTATTCACCTACCAACATGACTGATATGAATATAATAATTCGATAAATACAAATAAATATTAACGTTGAAGCATTTGACAGATAAGCAGAAGTCATTCAGGCTATTTTACTCATCATTACTCAGCTTTTTTTCGATCAGGAAGTCATTTATTTCAACATATGCCACTTCAGTCGAGGGTCAACACTCCAAATAAAAAAACAATCGCTATGATAAGATGCATTTATAAGACACTCTATTTTACTCAGTTCTTCGCAGTACGACTATTTTGAAAACACTAACCTACAAGCAATTCATGGTGATAAACAACAGAAAATGTAACTAAACTATGATTTATCAAATTCAAAAGAAGAACTTGTGTCATATAGGTCAATCCAGTTTGCCAACAGTATGTTGTCATATAACTGTGTGGATGTTGTGATGAGACTGGTTTACAGATTGATGGAAATTATTTTCAATTCATGTAATTGTGAAAAATGAAAACAACTTTAAGGCGAAGTTTACTCTGAGATGCAATCAGCCTTTACTCAGAAATAATTATGGTAATTTATTCATATTTGTCAATCATCTATTATAATTGGTATTTCACCCATTCTTGTACTCTTATTTTAAAAAAGAAACTGTATTCCGGCAGAGGTTCTGAAATCAGACGTAGCAGTAACTTCAAAGATACTCAACATTCTCTTCGGTAAGATTTGGGATGAAGAACAAGTACCAACAGACTGGAAAAAAGGACTTCTGATATAGGCACTAATGAAAAGCGATCCCACTCAGTGTGAAGATTACATAGGCATCAGTCTTCTCTCCATGCCAGGAAAGGTCTTCCACAGCGTGTTGTTAAACAAAATGAAGGATTCCGTAGACGCCCAACTTCGAGACCAACAAGCTGGATTATGTAAAGATCGATCGTGTACAGACCGAATCACAACTCTAAGAATCATTGTGGAACAATCAATTGAATGGAATTCATCCCTCTACATTAACTGCATTAACCACGAGAAAGCATTTGATAGCATGGACGGGACAACGCTATGGAGGCTTCTTCGAAACTACGGCGTGCCTGAGAAGATAGTCAATATCATACGGAATTCCTAGGATGGATTAAATGCAAAATCGTTCATGGAGGACAACTCATGACAGTTCTACTGTATGGGGCTGAAACCTAGAGAACTACGAAAGCCATCATCCAGAAGTTACAGGTGTTTATTAACAGTTGTCTAAGCAAGATACTTCGGATCTTTTGGCCAGACACTATCAGCAACATTCTACTGTGGAAGAGAACAAACCAGATTTCAGTAAAGGAAGAAATCGGAAAAAAGAGCCGCAAGTGAATAGGACACACATTGAGGAAAGCACCCAACTGCGTCACAAGACCATCCCTCACTTGAATCCTGAAGGCCAGATGGGAAGAGGACGACCAAAGAATATAATACGCCGAGAAATGGAGACAAACATGAGAAGAATGAGCGAAAATTGGATAGAACTAGAAAGAAAGGCTCAGGACAGTGTGGGTAGGAGAATGCTAGTCAGCGGCCTGTACTCAATTGGGGGTAACAGGTGTAAATAAGTAGGTAAATAACTAAACTACCTCAAACAACCGCCGAATTGTTTTGCCATTGTATGAAACTTTCTAACAGTGTTCACCCACGAACCCGCTGCCGGAGATCGGACACGGGATTTTCAGTGGCATGGTTAACGTTTAACTTCTAGATCCCTGTGCAATGATTAAGAAGTCAAACATTCATGAACTTTCGTTTTTTTCTCTGAACTATCAACAAAAAGAAATGTCGATAGTATCTGGTTTTTGTAATCAGATTACTATTTACTATATTATTATTATGTGTAATACTTCGTTTATAAACAGCTACCCTCATTGAACGAATCTTTATGAAGATGATCAAAAGTTCTTAAGTAATAAAATCTTTTCAACTTTTTATATACAAATACAGACATTTTGTTTATTAATTGTTTGTTTGAGAATTAGGATAGACGGCTTATTGAACCTTGACGTGAGAAATGATTATCAGTAAAATGCATTGAATAAAAAAAAATAACTAAAGGACAATGTGAAAAAATAATAAGGGAACAATGAAAGCACTGAAGGCCATGAATATATATAAATTGTACAGTCGTAAAAACAAAAACAATACATGCAATAATTAATGATAGGTTTGATAAAACTATTCTTTACAACACTGTTAAGTGAATCAGTGTTAAACAAGTATATTTTTTCAATTGATTAACTAACTTATACTCTATCACTTTGTAGAAGTATGAAATTATATTTTTGACGAAGATTACTAACTAAAAATCTGAATAAATTTTTTTTGAGTTTTGTTCTCCGAGCTGGGTGGTTTGATCGTGGAGCTTTCATCGTCCCTCTAAACGACATCAGCACAAACTTCTGGTTTGAATAAATTTATATCCTTGAAGAGCAATAAATTATTGGAACATTGAAAACCACCATAGATCTTTTAACAATTTGTAAATACTATTCAGCATTGAAGTTATGGTAATATTTCTTACAAGTTAAAATAATTCTTATTACTGCTGATAGGTATCAATAATCAAATACACTAAGTGTAGGATTGTTGATAAGATTTACTGAACGGTAAACCATTTGCAAAATTCTTATGAAGTTGAACTAATGAATTTAATGATCAGATCCATAATGACAAGGTTTACAAGAACATAATAACATAATCACTAGTCATAAATTACCACTTAAACGTAGTTGAAAGTTCGTCGTATAACAGTCGAAATAGAATTATAGCACTCAAAAGAATCTTGAAAAATAAGAAAATATAATTGGCGTTGGACTATTAAATCAAAACAAATGTTCATGAGGAAATACACTTTCCATTAAATGTTGCGAGTTGACTTTAGTGAATCAGCCATTGAAAATCAGAGAAGATTTAATAGCTGTTTCATTCCAGTGTGAAACAATTCAGCTCTTAAAACTCATGTTAGTCATTGGGGAACAGACTCACGACCATCAACACTCATCTAAAGCGCATTATTTTTAGACCACTTAGTTGAGATCCAGTATGTTATATTTTTGATGGCAGTCAATTTTAAGATATTGACAAGACATCATATTTGATTTTCAGTGAATTTTTGGCTGGATTCACTTTGTACTAACTGAATAGTCTACACACGTCTCCAATATTTGTAGTTTTACGAAAAGATTTATTATATAAAGCAGTTAATTTCGAATAGATAGTACTCTATAATAATACTTACCTTCATCCAGGTCCCCTCGAGCGGCAGCTTCTAAAAATATTAAACTTTGAGGAAACTTTACAGCTCGACTAGAGTTATAATGTCTTCTGTCATTTAATGGAGATAATCCTTTCTTTTGTAATTTCTCTGATTCTTTCTGCATTTTCTTATCATAAATTTGCCATTCTTTTAATTGATTTGCACGTTCTTTACGCGCATTTTTAATACGTTTCATATCAGGTACACGTATACCAGCTAAGTCAATATCATCTGCAATATTTATTGTCACATTTTCAATTGATCCGTTTAAATTATCCATCATGTTTTAATTTACTCAAAGGATTTATCGTAAAAATATAAGGGGAAATTCCCAAAATTTCAATTCTGATCTTTACAATAATTTGTTTTTTTTTATGTAACTAATTTGTATATCTACAATGAAAATTAAGAGAAAAAAGTATTTTTTCAATAAAATTATTTTTCATAGTTGAGACCATGAGTCAATTGAAGCTAAACCACCATGGAAAAACTGGAAGCACTGGATGGCCGTTCCGTTCTATCGAGTGACTTCTCAGCAGTGCGCGTCCACGATCTCGCCTCGCGAGACTTGGACTCAGGACATATCGATCTCGTGCGCGAACGCTTAACCTCTAGACCACTGAGCCGGCATCCAACGGTGTTAATGTTTAACTTCAACCGATCCACAAAGTTAAGCGAAACATCCACCAATTGTCTTCAGTGAGCTACTATCTCACAGAAGACCTGTTTGAACTCCACTGGTCACTGCTTCTCACTAGAACTCCAGAACATGTATCTTGAAGCCAGTTACTAGTGAGCATATTTTGATTATTATTACTGAAATCTCCACAAAAACTACTGATAAAATTATTTTTTAAAGATAATAATGATAATTTCACTATCAGCTTTTTATCAAACGGCTGTTGACAGATTTGTATTTATCAATCTGATCAGTTCTTTTGACCGTTTTTTAGTCGACAGTACACTGAAATGGTCATTATTTCATGTAATAAATAAATACCTTTGTGGTAACCATTACATATACATATACTAAATATGATGCTTTTTAAAGGAATTTATTATAACAAAATATGTTACTTGAACGAATTATGTAACAAAAATTGGGCGCCAAATATATACTAGTCATTATTTGTTTAAAATCATACTTCTTCCGTTATAAAGTCCTGACAAGTTTACTGAACGAAACATTGGAATTATTTAAATTCCAAACACTGAGATTATTTCAAATATAACTTGCACAACTAATGTCTTCTATATCCTTGGTGCTCAAATTCTGTCAAACTGTTCGTTTAACTATTGACGAATATTCATATAAAACAATAAGTAACTCAATATTGTTTCAACAATATATGGTACTAAGTCATACCCTTAATCGTAAAATATGTTGCTGTTACGTAATCGGTAATGTTATACAGGTTGTTTTTATCATAACTTTTCTGCTTTTTCAACTTAACTGAGAATTTATTTTCTAAGCTTACTGTAATCCTTGAACTTTGGCATAAAATCGTTATGCTAATTAATATGTAAAGAAAAATGCGCAAATATAAACGGAAATTTTCACTTTGTGTTTAGATTCAGGTTCGTTGACTAATTAAGTAAAAAGGTGTCCAATTGTTCAATTCAAAACAAAAATCACAAAATGTTATCCGGAATCAAAAAAAGAGAGAAAGATTTAATAGATATGAAGCAAAAAGGATTGAAAACTAAAAAGAGAGAAAACCACTCTGAGTAAAATTACTCAGCTGTTTTATAAGTAAAGATAGATAGTGGCTAGCAGTAGAATTCAGGACGTGCGTTTCGTCCTGTTTGGGACTCTTCAGTATGCATAGTATGCACATATGCCAATAAGAGACTGACCAGTTGCAGTTCAAAGCATCAATGGGAAGATTCAAACAATTAATACTAAGTGTACTCAGCTGTTTGTTTTTTTTTGTTAATAGACACTCAATGTCCAATGACCGGATATCATCAGCAACAGCCTACTGTGGGAGAGAATGAACCAACCTCCAGTTGACCACCCACAACCACCATCTTATCTCATCATAGTTCACGTAGTGTCGAGTCACCTAGACTGGTGACAACATCGCAACTTGGTCGGTAGCATTCCATCTGCACCATCTGACATACATGACAATGATCACCACCCAGTGATCAATCAATTGTGATTACATATCAGTCCTACAGGAGGTTGGCTAGTTCTTAACCAATTAGCGCTAGTCGATACTTAGAGAAGAGTCTAGAATCTTCTCATGCAAAAGCTTTAGGCATACTAACGTATTTCTTATTGTGCTTTTTACTTCCATTTACCCTTGTTATTCAGCATATAATTTCTTTCCTATTCAAACGTGTTCTGATTTGGAAACTTGTTAAATGAATCGATGTCCAAGAATACTAAGCAATAACAATAGTTGGGTCGTACTAAGAAAAACTATAACCATCTTAATACCAATTATTATCAATCAAAACATTATGTTAATTTCACGATATTTTTGGCTATTCTTTTGAATTCGTATTATAACTTCAAAAGAATTGTAGACTAATTGACCGAAATCGAAAAACAACAGTTCGAAATCAACTATAATATAATGGAGAAAATATATATTCTACAAGATATTTTCATGTTCTATTAAGATCGAAATTTGTCAGAAACTAGTGTAAGTTTCTTAGTATTGTTGATGATTAAGTTATGTTTGAAACTTATGAATCTTATGACATTTATCTGAAGTTACTGATCTATACTGAACATTCAAATGGGTTAAAATGTAGACAGGTTAACAAGAGTTAATATATCGTTTGTTTAAGTTATTGACTGCTGATAAGTGTCATACTGACGAGTTCAATAATATTTACTTTAAATTTTTCCGTTGAGAAAAATCAATGGGCGATGAGTTCAAATGATATATATGAAAATAAGTCACATTGATGAATATTGTATATTTATTCGTTCGGTATACTTCTTTTAATATATATATATATATATATATATATATATATATATATTAAGAGAGAGGGAGGAAAGGAAAGGGAGGGAATTTTGTATTTTCTCTGATGAAAAATATCACAGCAACAAGCAGGAAATGTGATTTTAATACCTATCTTTCTCTATTTAAAACAAACTATTATTTGCAGATTTCCATTTAATTCAACCATATGTAAATATTTATATTTTGAAAAGGAGTTAAGGTCATGCTATCACTGTAATAAAGTCATTTTTCCGAGCTTCTATTTACTTTTACTACTTACTTACTTACGCCTGTTACTCCCAATGGAGCATAGGCCGCCGACCAGCTTTCTCCAATCCACTCTGTCCTGGGCCTTCTTTTCTAGTTCCATCCAGTTCTTGTTCATTCTTCTCATGTCTGTCTCTATTTCTCGGCGTAATGTGTTCTTTTGTCTTCCTCTTCTCCTTTGACCTTCAGGATTCCATGTGAAGGCCTGTCTTGTGACGCAATTAGGTGATTTCCTCAAAGTGTGCCCAATCCACTTCCAGTGCTTCCTCCTGATTTCTTCCTGCGCTGGAATCTGATTTGTTGTCTCCCACAGTAACTTGTTGCTGATAGTGTCTGGCCATCTGATCCGAAGTATCTTGCGTAGACAGCTGTTAATAAACACTTGTATCTTCTGGATAATGGCTTTCGTAGTTCTCCAGGTTTCAGCCCCATACAGTAGAACTGTCTTCACATTTGTATTGAAAATTCTAACCTTGGTGTTGGTTGACAATTGTTTTGAGTTCCAGATGTTTTTCAGTTGTAGGTATGCTGCTCTTGCTTTGCCGATCCTCGCCCTCACATCTGCATCTGATCCACCGTGTTCATCAATGATGCTGCCCAGATATGTAAAGGTTTCCACATCCTTCAAAGCTTCTCCGTCAAGTGTAATTTGATTGATGCACATTGTATTGTATCGGAGAGTCTAGCTTTTCCCTTTGTTTATAATGAGACCTACTGCTGCTGAGGCTGCTGCTACACTGGTCGTTTCCTCCTGCATTTGTTGTTGCGTTTGTGATAGAAGAGCCAGATCTTACTGAAGAGGATGTGTAGTATCTTGGCAGTTGCTGCTACATTTGCCTTCAGTACCTCTGCCGGGATGTTGTCTGGTCCCGCTGCTTTGCCACTCTTGACTTGTCTAATGACCATGATGATCTCTCCAATTGTTGGTGGGCCAACATTGATTGGGAGGTCTGTGGGTGATGCTTCGATGTTGGGTGGGTTCAGTGGAGCTGGTCGATTCAAGAGTTCTTTGAAGTGTTCTACCCACCTGTTTCGTTGTTCTTCAATGTCGGTGATTACTTTGCCATCCTTGCTCTTCACTGGTCTTTCTGGCTAACGGTAATTTCCAGCAAGTTTCTTTGTTGTATCATACAGTTGTCTCATGTTTCCCTCTCTTGCAGCCTTTTCCGCTGTCATTGCTAAATCTTCCACATATTTACGTTTGTCGGTTCTGATGCTCCTTTTCACTTGCTTGTTTGCCTCTGTGTATTCGGCTTGTGCCTTGGCTTTTTCCGCTCTGGTTCGGCTGATATTGATTGCTGCCTTCTTGTTCCTCCTTTCTTCAATTTTATCAAGTGTACCAACAGTGATCCATTCCTTTTGATGGTGCTTCTTTTGGCCCAGAACCTCTTGACATGTTGAAACGATTGCCTCCTTGATACCTTTCCAGTTGCTCCTCATGGTAGTTCCCTCTCCATTGAGTAGATCATGAAAAACCTCGAACCTGTTGCTGAGGGCTATGTTGAATTTGTTGAGTTTGTCAGCATCGCGAAGAAAGGCCGTATTAAACTTTTGCGATGTGGTCCGCGCCGTTGTCCAGTGCTTCTTGAGTTTTAGTTTCATCTTGGCGACCAGCAAATGATGATCGGATGCTATATCAGCTCCTCTTCTGGTTCTCACACCCTCCATCGTCCTCCTGAACTTTTTGTTGATGCAGATATGGTCGATTTGATTCTGTGTAATGTGATCCGGTGAAATCCAAGTGGCTTTGTGTATGTTTTTGTGTGAGAATATGGTGCCACCTATGACCAGTTTATTGAAGGCACATAGGTTTGCAAATCTCTCACCATTTTCGTTCCTTTCTTCCAGTCCATGTCGTCCCATGACATCTTCGTATCCAGTGTTGTCCTTTCCAACCTTGGCATTGAAATCTCCCATCAGAATGGTCAGGTCCTTGGTTGGGCACTTCTCGAAGATCGACTGCAATCTGTCGTAGAATTGGTCTTTAGCGTCTTCATCGTAGTCGTTGGTAGGCGCATAGCATTGGATGACGTTCATTGTAATGCCCTCTCTCTTTGTTTTGAAAGAGGCTTTGATGATCCTTGGTCCATGAGATTCCGATCCAATTAGTGCATTTTGTGCTTTTCTGGACAGCATCAATGCAACTCCTTGTGTATGTGGGGCATTTTCTTCTTCATGACCGTAGTATAACAGAAGTTCTCCTGAAGACAGTCGTTGTTTTCCAACCTGCGTCCAATGTGTTTTGCTGATTCCAAGCACCTCCAGGTTGTATTTTCTCATTTCTACAGCAATTTGGAAGTTTCTTCCGGTCTCCCACATTGTTCGGACATTCCATGTACCTATAATAATTTTCGCTCTGGTTGTAAGAAGGTGCATCGGCCTCATGACTTCCGAAGGAACTCGGCTTTCATCATGAGACGTCATAATTATTCCTTCTACTCTCAGGGCAGAGTTTGAATGTTTTGAATGATTTTTTCTGGTTAGCTTTTTTTAGAGAGATGATTTTCTACGGGACGGTGTCGCTAACCCCATGCTCAACCCTCCTCCTTTGTATGGGCTTGGGACCGGCAGTAACCCCCAGAGGAGCTACAGGCGGAGTTCTGAGCTTCTTTAGTAAATAAAAAACGACAACTTGGAAATGACGAAATATTTGAGACTGTTACTTGTTAGTTGACAAGGACAATTTAGTCAAATTGTGACGAGTGTTGAAAAACGTGTAAACAAGCTATAGCTTCTAGTGTAGTGTTTACGGAATAAAAATTAAAACCCAGCATTTATAAATGTTAAAAATCACTCAATACAATACTCAAAATGATCTATAATGAGATTTCAGAATTTTTGATCGTTTACTACATGTCAAAAATATTGGGATCCCTCGATAATTCTATGATAAGTTCTTTAGAAGCCTGAAAAAAAGATGGGAACACATCGTCCAATTAACATACAAAATGAAAACTCCCAGAATATCGATGGAATATCTGTCACGCTGTGATTGGGTGATTACTTATTAGATTACCAAATTTAGCATGGATCCACAAGTTTCTGAGGATCAATTTTTATTAATCAGTCTAAAAATACCATTGTTTTCTGTACAAAAATGCATTAGGAATTAAATGTTCTGTTGCTACCTTACGCTTTTTCTCTACTTTTAGAACTCCATTGTAGGAATAGTCATTATAAAGTGTACGAATAGCAGAAATATTTAAAGCAAGAGGAAATTTGTCGTTACAGTTGTTCAAACAGGTTAACACTTGATCATTCTCTAGTATAAATATTCAAATGAGTAATCAATGAAATGAAACAGATCCTTTCCGAACCATGGAAAGTCTGCTCTTCGTTGTTACAGAATACTAATTATTATTACTGAATATTTGAAACAATCCAATGAATTTTTGGATTTAAAATTCTTAAAGCTTATGCGTATAGTTGAACTCACCACAATCCATTCTGTTTAACATCTATTAGATAATGAGATGATTGTTCATTATTTTACTTTACGACAATAAACTACATTTCTCTCTATGTCTACAAAGACTTTGTTGTAAGTAAGCTTACCTAGTGATACCATTTATATATAAGAAGTATTATCGAGAAATTTTTTAAAATCATGTTTTCTCGTTAATCTCATCTAATAACAAATCACGTAAACTTTTACATAAAACAAAAAAAATCAGACAGGAAATAAGGAAATAACAACAGCACATAGAAGAGATAGAGGGAATTAGAAGAAGTGGGTAGTAGTATAGTATCGATAGAATAGAGTTGAAACTTTTTCAAATGGTAGACAAACTACATCAAATAAATATATTACTGATACTACTCACAGTAATAGGAACAGTGACAACAGTGATAAACAAATCGGTAGTTGGAAATGCTGGAGAATAATATTTTTATTTTAATAAAAGACCAAAAGAAATAATGATAATGTTGAAAATCGTAATACCAAAAAAATTATGAATGATGAATTAACCTTCTACTTCATCTGATGATTGAAAAATCAATTAACAAGTTATTCATTAGGCTTGTTTTAAATAAAGTTAGATTATTGAAGATAGTACATTTAGTCGTAGTAACCACATTCGCGCGAATATATATATATATATATATATACGGTGTGTATAACCTGAATAGATTAGTGAATTGCTCTATACACAACATTCACCGATAAAGTGGTTATCATTAAAATTAAAACATTGATCTACAGTCGAATGAATGAAACTATCTTTATTCAAGCATAATAAGTGTCCTTTATTTGACCTAAACTATAAAAGGGATAATAATGATCAAAAAAATTTTTTTATTGCTCATTCAATTATAAGGTTAGCCTATAAATCATGGTATATTTATATTTAAATGATTGTGATAAAGGATTAATAAAGTACCAAACTATGAATAAATTTGATTTGATTATATAAATAAATGTAACTTCTCTGACGTATAGGTAATGACTTTTCTTTTCTTCAAAATTACATCTTTAGTACATGAGATGATATTATATTGTCATAGGTCTATCTTGAAAATGTCCATATCATTCATGTCACATTACACTAAAAACAGAAAACTGAAGTGTCAGCGACTATTTTTTCTGATCAATGAACGTCTAAAACTTATGGAACAAACTATCTTTTATTGATTAAACTTAGTTCTCTAACATAATAACCGTGAAATCAATGATTTTAACACAATCTTTCAACAATTTAAGGCCAATGACAAAATAAACATATTTATCTCCTGTTAATTATTTCTTTTTAGTAAGCGCTAATGATAATCATCTGTCTCATGACATCAAGTTTGAGTAATTATAAAATTCTAAACTAGATTTAGCTTGCATAGCACCAGGTAGAAGACAGTACATTCTAGGCTATATTAGTATAAATAAATAAAAATATTTCAGAATTATTATTTAGTACTTAAAACTAAGTGACTTATAAGGTTAGAAGTTATTAAATGGGATACAGATTATAGAGCCTTAATGACATTATGAGTGTGCGAAATCGTAAGACATTTCTAGTGATTCAAACAAAACTAATTTTACTGTTTCACAACCGTTAAACTTATTGTATCTATGCACCTATTGTAGTAAACAGAACACATATCAGTCCATCTCTGATTTCATTGTTCATGCATTTTCATACCGATTGCGTTCTGCTCCGGTTCATTCCTTATCAATCCTCTAGTGAAATACATTCTATACCTGACCATCATCATATACTGCTTATGTGGACATAAGTAACCCACACCATACTATGACTTATTCATAATGCTTCCTTGAATATTTTTCTCACGGCTTAATAAATACTATATATATATATATATATATATATATAGGCGTTCGTATATTTGATATAAAAACATCAGTTTATTTACACACAATCAATTAGTCTGTTTACTTAATTCATCCCTTTGATTAATGCAATCTCTTAAGTCATAATGCTAATCGCTAATGTGATTAACGCACGTATTTTATCAAACAATAAGCAATAAATAATCCAAATGGATTTGAAATATCCCAAATGTTAAGTAATTAAACATGATATATGTATGTGTGTGCATATCAACTATGCAGCTGATAAGGATACTGTATGCCTGACAAGTTGATCTAATAACTGGTCATACAAAAAGGAACTCAAATATCATATCATATTACAAAGCAAACTAATTTTATACGATATTGAGCAGACTATAAGGTGAAAAGTCTTATGAAATAGGATATGAAATTTATGCACAATTGATAAATGAAATTTTTTCAAAATAATGTAATCTGAGTTTTAATGGATTATGCAACTCAGTCATTGCTGTTCATTTAATTTTCATTTCAATTTCGAGTGAATAGTATTGGTCAGGTTAGTTGTTTTACTGAAAAAATTTACTCCAGCTATACTACGAATTTAGATAAAATGTGATCAATATAACGACCGCGTACGTCAATCTACTTGTGGTGAATAGGGGTGAAATTTTCCAATTGTTGTTATTAAAGTTATGATTGTATGTTTTGTTGTCGGATTTAATGTGAGTGCTATGGCTGGATAGTATTTAATTAAAGAAAACTGGATTGTTGACTGAGTTGTTAAGTGAGTAGTGAGCGAAATACGTAATGCGTTTGCCAAGAAAGATTTGTCTTCCTAAAAAAATAATATGTCCAACTACAAAGTGTTTGACAAAATAAGATTCTGATGCGAGGATTTGTGGTGGTTAGGTTGGTTTATAGATATTCGTTGAGCATTAACCGCTGTATGGGTACCACTTCAAGCCAGATAGTATTAGATGGCATTTTCGCTCTACTTTAGGACATTTGAACAATCTATACTTATGATTACACCGAGTGATATGGAAACATTCCTCTGGTTCAAAAGTTAAGTCAAAAATGGTATGGTTAGATCGGGAGTGAAATAATCGTCCTCAATGAAAGAAATGTATATCACTGAACGCTAACTCAGCCGACTTGTAATGAAAATTCATGATACGATGGTGGGTGTTCACATTATTCATCAGCCTATTAACTTTTCCATTTTAATCTGAATGAAAACAATAACTGTTGTTGTGTTATGCGTAAACAATATTCTCTCGCCTTTTGGTACAATTCGAGAGATCTAAGCATAGAAACACATACACGCGGACAATTAATTTCAAATCCTTTTTTGGATAATATGTATCTCTTAATGTAGAAATAAAAACTTTGTCTATTCATTTGCATTTATCAATGAAAACAGAGAAAAAACAAAACAAATCTATACAGGGCTGTAAAACTGACCTTAATTTAATTATTATGATTAAAACCAGTGTACTTCTACCCCACATTTAGTGAATAAATTAATTTCTTTTCAAGCATAACAAGATTCATTGAATAATTCAATAGAATTAAGAAAAGAAAACTTCGGTACATAGTCAACAATTTCATTGTTAAATGACTTTAAATGGGGTAATAGTTTAAGATGAATTCTTGTGCATTATATTCATTGTTCATAGTGAACATATATACATATATGTATCTTTTGGGAAGCCAAATTTCACTTTCAGAGCATCAGTTTTTCCGTACTTAAAACGTTTCTCGTATATAATCACAAGCATTAATTACGGTCAATCTACTTTAATTTAATCAGCAAGATAATGTTTCACATCAATATAAAGGAAGTATGATTTAAAATTCAATAGATGATCCTCTATGCAAATACTAATCCATGTTTATTTTCTAATGCTTTTCACTAGTACTTCCAATAGAAATGTTTCGAAACGATAAGTCATTTCAGTCATTGATAATGAATTTAATATATTTTTGAAAGAATTATTAGTCATGACATTAATTAGTGGCTTATTACTATGTCACTTTAAGATATCATCTTTACACAATAGTCATATTGATGCCATGTATAATAACTACACGGTACATTGGTTAAACGTTTAAACCACCAATTTTCAAAAATGCATTTATTGCCATAATATATGGTGTTCTAAATTTTTTCTAATTCATTGATTGTTTGTCAGCAGGGAAATAAAAGACAATTGTTATAGAATTCAAACATCAATTATACTATGTAATGAAACGAGATGTCCTGATAGCAAGATTATTCGTAATTACTTAAGAATTAGTTGAAGTTAAAATTGGTTGGGGTTGGACATTAACACCATGGGATGCCGGCTCAGTAGTCTATCGGTCAAGTGCTCTGGCGCGAGACTGATAGGACCTAGCTTCGAATCTCGTGAGTGCGGGATCGTGTATGCGCACTGCTGAGGAGTCCCACAATAGAACGAAACGGCCATCCAGTGCTTTCAGGTTTTCCATGGTGGTTTAGCTTCAATTGACTTATGATCTCAACTATATAAAACTTAAGAATACATATGAATCGCAGCTAATCACCATATAGAACGTTTTTAGGCAATTGTCAAACTAAATGCTTCTATAACGTGAATTTTATTGTAATTTTGCATATTGTATTACCTAGAACTATAAGGTGCAATAAAAAGTAGTAGTATCTTAGTGAACGAGAACACAAGTGAGGACAGTTGAATGTATTCGTACACAAAATTACAGAACACCGTAGTAAAATCTGAGAATCATATATTAAATGCCTAATTTGCAAAATATCAACCAATTGTCTCAAACTCGACTGTTCCTTCATTTCCATACCAATCGCTTTCTTTTCCCATTCTTTTCGTCTCAAACTTCTGCAGCCAGACATTCTATTCTTGACTAGAGTTATTTACTACTTGTGTCGATATAAGTAGCACACATCACAGCAGGATATAAAGGGGGTCAATTTTAATATTTTGATGATTTCAATTGTTTCTGTTAAAACTTCATAAAATAACCAATAAAAATATTTATGATTTTATTCAATTGTTACTAATTTATTATTTTTCTATTTTACTCAATTGTTAGAATCGTAAACTGTTATAATCTGCATACATATTTATGATTATGACAGGTTTAATTAACCGGTAATTAATAAAAAGGAAGTTGTAATCTACACAAATAATAAACTATGATTAAATTTATTTTTTAGGTTAAATATTAATTTATGTTTATTAAATCGATTATTATTTTCTTAGAAAATTTGCTTCAAATAATAATTTAATACTATACTCCACCGGTAATTCCTCCGGCGGCTATTGTCGGTCCCAAGCCCGAATAAAGGAGGAGGGTTGGGCATGGGGTTAACAACCCCATCCCCTAGAAAGCCAACTCGCAAAAAAACTCTAACCAGAAAAAAATTATTCAAACCATTTAAACTCTGCCCTGCGAGTTGAAGGAACAATTATGACGCCTCATGATGAAAGCCGAGTTCCTTTGGAAGTCATGAGGCCGATGCAGCTTCTAACAGCCAGAGCAACAATTTTTATAGGTACATAGAACGTTCGGACAATGTGGGAGACCGGAAGAATCTTCCAAATTGCTGCACTATGATTATATATTTTTATATTTTATTAATATACTATTGAATTTGTCAGCTAGCGATTAAAATTTAATCATCATTTGTATTTATTTTAATCAAATAAGTTTTTTTTACTTTGTTGTAGAAAAATCACCTTTGAACCTAGCTAAAGTTTTCTTTTAACAAAATAACTATATTTTAATGTTTTTTATAGTCAGATTAATTTAAAATAAAGAAA